TATCTTTAGATCGAAACCTGATCACCCAAGGTCAAATTCCCTATACCCATGAGTTCTCCTTTACCTTCTTTGTCAAAGCTATATCTTTTATTGCATTCTAGTTTTAGTTAACCTTAAAAACCAATCAATCACATGATCGCACTTAGATTAAGCTAGTACTTGTATTCTCGGTGCTTTTAAATCCCTCAGAACTGGTTCGACAATCTTCTATACTACAACATTTGTTTTAGGAGCCTCAAAAACTTCTAACATCAATCACCCTTACCAACCTATCCCATGAATCTAAAATGGATCTACTCACTAATACACATGATTAACCTAACAACAATGATTGATTGTTGGTTAAACATGATTAGAGATCAAGATTACTCAACAAACTCAAAAGAATAAGATGAAAAGAAGATAAAGTTATGATCTTTCACCAATAAGTTCTTAGGTTTAGAGAGAAAATACAAGATAAGATTCCTAAAATGATGTTTTAGGGTATTTATACTAATCCCAAAACAAGTAGGACAAATTAAATAAAAAAGGAAAAATGATCAGTAATAGCGACATGCATATCACGCTACACCCATGTCGCTATGGCTTGCTCGCGTCTTCAGGGTCTGTAGTGACAAAGTGATGTCGCTACGGTACGGTCGCTATGACACTTCAATAAATTTGGCTTCATCCTTGAGAATCTGTAGCGACATTAACTTGTCGCTATGCATGTCGCTACCGTGAAACGAGGGTGCTCATAGCGACTCAGTGAAGTCGCTACGATGATGTCGCTATGGCACTTGGGCGAAAACGAGCTTTAATCTTGAAACTCTGTAGAGACATAGACAGGTCGCTACGGAGGTCGCTACCAGGACACGAGGGTGTTCATAGTGACTTGGATAAGTCGCTACACTGAAGTCGCTATGACACTTGAGCTTGCGACATGAAATGAGTGTAAATCATCCATCTTGGCTCCAAATCAACTCCCATGTCTTTAGAAACACCAAAGAGAATCTCCAACACCTGAATTATGCAAAAGTGATGCAATGCAACCTAAATGTACTATAAATGTATCTAAAGTCTAAGGATGAAAGCTAAAATGAGTCTTAAAAACATGTAAATACACAAGATATCAAAACACTTGTGCCTTTGCTAGAGCTCAAACTCTTCATGCTTTTATAAAAGGTGCCAATGCATCCTATTTTAATATTGGCTCCAGATATGTTCCATAATGACTCCAAAGGGACAGCCAGGAAAACGAGTAGTAAATCCACAAATTCTTGCCCGCTTTCGGCATAAAGCACCTTCTTGTCATGTTTCCTAACAAATACAGTGACTGATAGTAGGTCCTCTGATTTTGTTATACCACAAACTGGCACGGCTAGGTTTGGCATTGTCCTTGTAATGATACATGAGCTCTGTTTCTTCAAGAACACATCCGTCAAGGGAGTATCCGAAGAAAATAAGCATTCCAGCAAAGCTAGTACCTACATTTGGATTTTCATATATATTAGAGGACAAACCATGTCCAAGTAAAAATAATATCCAAGTAATGTAAAAAACATAGATTCATGAAAATGTAATTACCTCTTTGTGACTAACGTCTACAAGCATCTCATCCAGCTTACTAAGATCTGTATAACCGAGTCCTCTAAGTGCCTTCAAGGTGAGGACAATGGAACAAAATCCCACTTCCATATTGTCTAAAATGAGGAATGACTTCTTCTCGCTACCAAATATTTCCTTAGGACCACTATACCTTACTTGTATCTATTAAGGTAGATGGGCTTCCAATATAAAACCAATTGGTGATAAGTGGAGTGACATATCTATCTTATATATTAGATAGAATCCTTTTCAACTTCCGATGTGGGACTTTGTCCCTAATACGCCCCCTCGAGATGATGGCTCTTTGGCGTCAATCTCGGAATGTTCGGGCAAGGATCGATGGGACGACTTTGAGCACGGATCGATAATGGATCGGGTTGGACTGCATGGATCATGGGCTCTGATACCATGTTAAGGTAGATGGGCTTCCAACCTAAAACCAATTGGTGATAAGTAGATTGATCCATCTATCTTATATATCACTAATAATCCCTTCCAACTTCCGATGTGAGACACTTTGTGTCTAATACCTTAAACTAACTAAACCCACGTTCAATTCCCCTAAACTTTCACTCCCTTTAACAAGCCCCCTAAACTTAACTTATTTATCAATTATCTCCCCGAACTTTAATTTCCTAAGAAACTCCATAATTTTCTGATTTCTTTTGCAACTCCACAAATTCTCTGATTTCTTTTTTAATTGCAACTAGCATTTGACCCGCGCCCCCGCGTGACTTTTCGTTCTTCATAATTCTATATGTCATTAATTTTTAACAATGTTATAAGCAGCATTGTTTATGTTTTATAGATTCATATATTATTGAGTTTTGACATTTGTGTGTCATGTTCAATATGTTTACATCCATTTATAAACTATGAAATTGTGATTTTCTTTTATTGTGCTTTTATTCATTTTATTTGGTAAAGTAAACATTAAAGTGTATAATATTAAAGTTTTAAGCATAATCGTGTTTTTTTATAAAATTATATTATAATTATTGGTATTTATTGTTCAGATTGTATATTAATTTTTTATAACAAATATATTATTTAAATAGAAACATACAAAGAATCAAGTTAAGAAAAAATATTCAAAAATAAGTACAGATTTTTGATGATTTTATTTAGCAATTATATTATCATAAGTTAATTGATAGTGGATATAAATACAATATTAAATGATGAAATAAAAAAAATGGAGCAGTCGACATTTCTTCCGTTGAATCTTCTTCGACTCTTCTTCCTGTGTTGTGGAAGGTCGTCTTTCTTATTCAGAGGACCTAAACTAATGACTCCACAAGAAACAAAAAAATGGAAATATATTCACAAAGAAAATATTCTATTCTCCAGGAGAAGAGAAACTGATCGTTGCTGCAGCGTATCTTGTGAAGGAGCTTAGATAGGGTAGTAGCCTCACTAAAAACGCTAAGAAGGTTTTAGGGCGTCTCTTATCAGACCTATCGCGTGTGGTGATAATCTCTGAGATTAATCTTGGTTAAACTGAAGTAATTAGATTGCTTACCGAACAGAATGGTATAACGAATTTTTGGTATAGGAAATTAATAGATTAAGGAAAGTGTAAAACTATTGTGTTTAAGAGTAGTGGCATTAGATTGTAATTATTGAGAAAAAAATAGGCTTAAATACTAAATATACTTCAATTTTAATAGTTTAGATTAAGAATGTAGAAGGCGTTTAGTTATTATTAATTAGTTTAATGAAAATTACAATATATATTTAGTGAACTAACATAATTCTCTAGAAACTTTAAAAAACATTTTAGTGATAATACGTGTGATATCTAAAATGTTGTAATGATTTTTTCTTTTAGTATATAAGGAATTGAAAGCAAATTTTACTTCAAGTTTTAACCTTAGCGTGTTTATTTACATAATCTTGGGGAATTAGAATAATGTATTTTTGTTCATAGCTGTTGTAATTTGATAGCACCCTATAATCAGAGCTCATATATTATAGTTATTTCATTATGCAGTTTTGTCTCGTTTCACATTGAATTGGTAAACTCACAACTGCCTAGCTAATTCAACAGTTCTCATATGATGAAAGACTCTCGGATAGAAAACTTCTCTGTTGGCTGACAAATACTTTGTAAACATGCACTAACTCAGCATATCAGACCAAGCTACCGGCTTTGGCAGTTTCGGTTTATTGTCCAAACCTTGCAAGAAATTAGGACGAAACACCCGCCTGAATCTTAAGTTTGTAATTCCAAATTGACAAAATGGGCGAGCAGGGAAAAATAGAATGATAGTAGTTATTTAGTGGTAGCTCTATAGCCTAAACTCTAAAACAATTCTAGCCTTTTTTTTTGCTTGAAACGCACATTTACGCAGTGACAGACACATGAGGAGCAGTCACAGGTTTAGTACCTCCGTTAGCATCAATTCCACCACCACGTCTTACACGCCCATGATTACCATTGACCCTCGAGAATCCACTACCGTCACCATTTGTTCGGTTTCCATATCCTCCTCTTCCATTTCCAAAGCTCCCACGACCATAGCCTCCTCCTCCTCCTCTTCCACCTCCAAAGCTCCCACGTCCCCTATTACCTTCGTATCTGTACCCTGTTCCTACACCAAACCCTGACCGTCCTCTATAATTCCCTGTTTCACCAAATGAATGATAGAGAATTAATCTGTTAGGTTCATGACTGTTTCATTTGTCTTAAATGTTAAAAAGGTAAACTTGCCTCTTGTAGATCGTTTTTCCTCGACAACTACTTTCTGCCCATTGAGTACGACAGGTGATGCCTAAAAAGCCCCAAAATATATACATTTAACTGTTAGTCAGCCTCCGATGAACAAACATAGTCTTGAAAGTATCAGTAGAAACACCAGTTGTTATTACCTCGATTGCGCTTTGCACGGAACTTGCGGATTCAAACTCAACAAAACCAAAACAGAATCCCTGTAAAGCACAATACTCAAAAGAATCACTACTGTGCGGACTTGTGATCAAAATCGTTGCTAATCAACTATAAAGATGGAACTTTTCTTACCTTCTGGCTTCTTACTTGAATTCCGTTGGTCCTAATAAGTCCAAACTTCTGGAACTCATTCTCGAGCAAGGCTGGTGTTGCATCAAGCGGCAAGCCTTTTAGATAGATGGATGGACCTGGAGCTGTTATGAGAAAGATTGCAGCTGAGCATGCTACCCGTTAAGAAACACACACAAAAAAAAAAAAAGTATTTACATCTTTCTTTATCTTGTTCGTTCCCATTCACAGCTTCATTTGCTCCTGAATCTGATTTCTCAGCCAAAGGTGTTGGGAGAGGTATATGAATGGCTTGCTCTTCTTGTCTCTTTGGTTCCACCAACTTAGTTGGCATTTTTAAAGCAGACTTCGGCGCAGCATTCTCTTTCATAACCATCACCTACGTACAAGATTAGATACACTAATGGCGTCAAATCTTGAGGAGAAGCCAAAATCTCAACATTGGCTTGATAAACAGGAGACATTACACAACCCAAATGAGTGTTACTTACAATGGATGCATAAGATCTCTTTGGAGCTTCGCCAGTCCTAGAATCAGATTCTTCGACTTTCTGCACATCAACTGGAGCTTCTTCTGTCACAGATACTTGTGCATCTTCAGAGGGAGTAAAAACTTCAGGAACATTAATGCTCTTTGACAACACATCGGACTGCTCAACAGCATGATTCTCTTGCACATATTTCTCCTGAACAAAATCATCTGCATTGTCCTGACCCGCAGCTGGATCTAAAGCCACAAAAAGATTTACAATACTTACAAAAAAAACTCAAGAACTTAGAATTCAACAGTTCAAAGGAGGCAGATACAACAACAAGCTAGGTTTCAACTTACCCTGGTGAACGCTGACAGGAGCTTGGATGTTATTCTCCGGACTCTGAGTCCCATGTACGATTGTGGGTTCATCAAAGTATCGGAAAATATCATTCAAGACAAAGTACCCAGTCTCCTGTGGAGCAAGGAAGAAGGTCTGAGTAAACCTCCTCCTCACACCATCTTTCCCAGTCAAATACCCAGTAACCAGTACGAGAAAACCACCGCCATAAGACTCTTGTGTGTCCACAGTTGCTATCTCAGCATTGATTACACCAATACCAAGCGCCTGTATCTTCTTGTCAATAGCCTACTCAAAATTATATACACACAACACTCATATTCCCAAAGCTTTACAAAAACGCAACTTCAAGAAAAAGTAAGTTAGTAGACTGACTTGCAAGGTGGAAGTGATGCTCATTACACCATTCTCTTCAGGCCGGCCAAACTTGCTAATCTCTTGGTAGAATCTGTGAACATGCTGAGGGGATTGATGAAGTATGTAATAATACTGATGCACAAATGCATTCCCAACCTGTAAACACACAAATGTAAACTCAGGGCCGGTTCTGGGAAACATTGGCCTTATGCCTCCAAAATTTTTGAAGAAAATTACATAAACACAGCCCCTCAAAATAATTTTTATGCCCCTAATTTTTTATTTTTTAGAGATTTTAGTTGAAATCTTTAAGAAATCGCCTAAATCTCAGGGCCGGCCCAGTGTAAACTGGATCTTTGATTAAAAAAAACAAAAAGGTGGATGACATACAATATCAGGAGTACAAGCTGCTGCTTGAACTTGCTGTGCACCTAACATCGCCATGGCTCACTGTACAAAAATCCATCAACAGTTAATTGGATCAGTAATTCAACTTTTGAATCTCATTTTCACAGCAAACAATTGGATCAGTAATTCAACCAGAGAGAGAGAGAGAGAGAGAGAGATCTGATCTATATACAAAAAAAAAAATCAATCGAAAATCCAATACAAGAGAGCTAATTGCATCATCGAAATCAATTTCGCCGCTCACTAAGCGAAGTGGCACAAATCCGAGTTACAGGGAACCGATCTAAGTGCTAGAAACAGTTGTATAATTTCAATCGATCAAGTAAAATACGATAAAGACAAAAAAAACGAAGATTAACCGGAAAATTGATAAGCGATCCTCTTCTTCTCTCTCTCCCTCTATGGCGCCGGTTAGGGTTTTACAGGTGAATCTCGAATAGTAGCGAGAGAGTAAGAGAAGCGACGTGTGAGCAAAAAGTGAATGTATTAATCGTACGTCTGAGATTTTTTTTTTTTTTTTTTGAATTTCTTCCGCATGACTATTTTATTTTATTTTATTTTTGTTTTGGGTTATTGGTTTTGTTATTTTATTTTAATAGATTTGTAAATCTAAACCAAATTGTTATTTGCTATAAATTTAAAAGTCTGACGGGACGATGGTATATCAACAACACTCGACATCTCTACCGGTTTTATTTTTTTAAAACTCTTTTGCAATGCAAACTGAGCAGTTCATAGCAATTCACGAACATGAGAAATTTTGAAAAGACGTCTCATGATCTTTACGAGATCTTGTAACTAGGAATGGACAATTCGGTTATTTTCTCGATTTGGTTTGGGTTTGGTTCGGTTTAGTTAATTCGGTTCTAGAATTTTTCTAACTGAAATAAACCATAACTAGTTTNACTAGGAATGGACAATTCGGTTATTTTCTCGATTTGGTTTGGGTTTGGTTCGGTTTAGTTAATTCGGTTCTAGAATTTTTCTAACTGAAATAAACCATAACTAGTTTGGTTTGGATCGGTTTTGGCTCGATTTGTATTCAGTTTGATTTGTGTTTCGGTTCGGTTTAATCGGTTTCCTTATTAATAAGAGAAATCATATTTTTGAAATATAAATAGGAGTAACTATGTAAACTAAATCTAATATAAAAACTGAAACAAAAACTTTTGAAAGCACAGAAACTTTATAAGAACACCATCAAATCAAAGTTAACTAAAGTAAATAGAAAAAAAATAAAAAAAAATCATTATCAATAACTTTTAAAATAAACTATGTAAATTTAAATTCAATATTAAGCTAAAACAAAAACCTTAAAACCCCATATAAAATTTATAAAAACTCAATTAAACCAAAGTTAACTAAAGTAAACTGAAAATTAAAAAAACTAAACATCGTTAATAAAGTTAATAGTAACTTTTTTTATGATTTTAGTATATTGTATATTGTTAATATGTTTAATTCAAATAATAACCAAATACACTGGTTTCTCGATTCGGTTTTAACTTGGTTCGGTTCGGTTTGTTTGGGTTAAAAAATGTTAAACCAAACTATTTAATAATAGATTTTGGTTTGGATCGATTTCGGTTTGACTCGGTTCCGTTTGATTTTTTGTCCACCCCCTACTTGTAACATCGAGTCAAACCACAGCGAGATTTTGGATTTTCCAATATAGATAACTTCAGAATATATTTGAATATTTCTAAAGTTGAAGGTACTTTTTTTTTTAAGTTGAACGTATCTATTATCTAAAGTAATGCATCCTTCATTCTAAGGTTATCCACGTAGGATGCTATGTCACAAAGTCCACGTGTACATACTTTTCTGAGCCGTTTATCCCATCACACAAACCGCTGTGTTTCATTTCGCCTTCTACCCCTACATCTGCTCGATAGAAGAAACGAAGTTCCTCTACGTGCGACGGCGAGCCGGTGACAGTTTGCGATTCTTCTCACGACTGTAATGGTTTGATTACTTTCTTTATGATCGATCTCATTGATTCATGCCTCCACGACGTGTCTTCAAAGCGTTTTTTGGATCTGAGAACCGGTGTGGTTTCAGTTTAAATATGTGTGAGGTCCCTCTCCTTGAACTCATCTTCTCTTCTTCTCTTTGTATCTCTATAATATTATTTGAGAAGTCACTTTCTTATGTGTCGCGCTCACATTAATTTTCACGATGGTTGATTACTATGATATCCCTAATGAATTAAAAAAAATACATTTAAATATTATTATTTCCTTTTCAAAATTTTCCAAATAACAATATAAAATAAAAAGGAAACATTTATAAAGTTTACAAAACCATTTAAAACGAAAATATAAGTATATAAAAATATGGTTTCATAAAAAAGGAAAGTTCACAAAATAGTAATATTTAATTCAAATATATTTTAAATAACATAAAATATACTTTTGAAGTAATAAAATACTTCATCTCTATATCTTCTTAGATGAAAAACAATATTTGTATATAATGTGATTCCATAAAAAAAATTTCACACAACTAATCTTGATACTAGAAAAGGAAATATTTTTTCTTTAAAAATAATAATTTTAAACAATAATATATATATATAATATATCTATCTATTTTATTAGATGATTACATAAAATAATTTAGTAACATAAACTGATATATGTTTAATTTTGTTTTTTTATAATTTGTATTTTTGAAATATATATATATATTTTTTATTTTTTTAGTATATTTATTTGACTATAATATCTCACAATACAACAAAACATATAAATTCTATTTTACCTATATAATATAATTTCTCTAAAACAATAATTTTTTTACTGCATATTTTAACAGATATTAAAAACAAAACTGAAATAAATTTTAATAATATTTTTTTTTTGATAAAATAACTACAATTTTTTAAAAATATTATAACACTATATAATTTAACTAAGTAGATATAATATATTTTAATTGTTAAAATTATATGTTTTCCTAATAATTCTTTTGATTTTTAATTTCTGTTTTATGTTTTTGAAACTTAATATAACCATAATCAAAATACTTAAGCAAATCGGAATCCTTATTTTTAAAATTATTTAAAATAATCATAAGCTTCCAAAAATGTATCATAAGCTTCCAAAAATCTATTAGTTACTTATGTATGTAATTTAGAATCAGAAAGTTTAGTTTTTTCTAAACACAAAAAATCTTAAGTTATACATAATCTTACTAGATATACTTATATTTCTAAGATAACAACCGACATAAATGCAAATAAGACAATTAATCAAAAATTTAATATAATTAGGATAAAAAAGATTGTAGTTGAATTCAAAGAAATAGATACAATCTAATATATCCAAATGATAACTAAATCAACCGTAAAAAGAATCAAATTGACAAAATATAACATATCTAAAATTATACATATAATTAAATTAATATAATATGATTAATATAAATTATACCTACAAATTCTAAATTAATTTAAATTTTAAAGTAAATATCAATAAATTATTAGAATATATTTATTTTATAAATACGTATGTCCGTGCATGAGCACGGGAAAATCACCTAGTATCTATTATATCTCAAACGTTTGATATGGCTAATACAGGTTTTGAAAAGGGTCGTTGATTATTCAGAAAAAAAAATCAAAACTGAGAAGTTGGAGATGATGAGGTTGCTTGAGAATGATGATCACAATCGGTTGATTGGATTGAAGGAAAAACATCTTTTTATATTCAAATCAAAATTAGGTAAGAGCCAGCCATTGTTGATTCTTTGTGCTACTGATAAGATCTAATTCTGCTCATGAAACATGTGTTTCTGTTTCTTATTATAGAAAATCTCCAGGGCAAACTTGGGATGACTTAGATGAGTTCAAAGCTTAGTTTCATATCTTCGCTCTATATCAAAATGTATGTGCAAGTATCTCACTTTGTATTTGCTTATCTTATTGAATATCAGACTCATGTAAGCTATAGTAATAATTGTGTTTTTTTTAACCTTTGGTGTGCAGATGGAAAATTGCAACGATGGAGATGCAGATGAATGTAAATCAGGGGAAACTAAAATCAGAAAACAGAAAATGATTTTGCAAAGCTTGCTTTTGGAAAGAGTTGTGAGTTACCTTCTCTTGAAGCCAGATCTGAGTGGTATGAATTCAAACGCATCAAAAAGAGAGTGGACCGAAACTCATAAATGCATCACAAGAGAACAGCAGGAAGAGATTCAGTCAACTAAGGTAAGCAAGCTGCACAAGCTTACTTCATTATTCTTGCATGCTCTTCTTTACCTTTGTTGATGAGCGATTGAAGTCCACTCTTTTCAAGCATAAGGGTCATGTCACTATCCTTGCCTGCTCTTTTATCTGTGATCTGGCTACAAAAGTTTGAGCTTATGTTTTCCTATCTGTGTGGGTTATAACAGAAACTTGAGAAACCCCAACAACATAAGCTCATGGAGAAGCCATTTCAGCGGGAAATGATGAAAATTCTGTCTCCATAGCTTGAAACAGGTGGAAGATTAGCAGTCACTCTAAATATGATATTGCTTATGTTTGACTCTGTCAAAGATTGTATTTTTGCAAGACATGTTAAGGAGATATGGGTCAGTTTTACATGAGAAATGCGTATGGGAGGATGAAGAAGATGCGTGATATGGTTGGTCATGCTTTCTTCGGTTCGGAAGAAAAAAGTAGGTTCAGAACTTACTTCAAGTTTATGCACAGATCTTATTCATGATTACTCTGTTAGAGTGTTGAAGCTAAGATGTAAGGTAAGAAGAACGAGTTCTGAAAATACAAGACGAACGGCCATCTTATAAAAGGACAAGAATGTTATTGTTTTCTAAGTCATTGATCTATACTTTAAACCATTATTGAATGATATACATGTGAAGTGCATGTAGAAGTGAGATTTGATTAACTTCTCAACGGCTCTGCTGCTAATTACAGCCCGAAGAAGCATTGCCTTCACATGACAATTGACAACATAGATGTTATGTACATGCTATTACTAATCACGAGTAACTTTGTTTCACATAGATATTCTCTCTTAATTAGTACATGTTATAACCATAAGTAAGCATGTAGGAATCAAAAACGTACATAAATCAAAAGAACTTTACCCAACAAGAGCAACCAAAACCAGTATTTCTTCAACTTGAAACTTAAATTTCTCGGCCACACTTCCCTGTAAACACCAACCACCACAAAACTAAAACCATTTTCAGAAAAAATCTAAGATTTACAAACAAACAAAAAACATTAAAAAATGTTTGGATCTTTTTCAGTTGTATCAAAGAATAGTGATAATAAAAAGCTACCTTTCAAGAAGAAAAGCACAAGAGGACTGATGGGAATAAATAGTGCAAAGGTGCAGAAGATTGCTAGGAGACAAACTGTCAGAGCAGTCAGTACCTCCGAGTTCCTGGCGTAAATACTTGAGCTCCAACCAGTCCTCCGATTATTCCAACTACTTTTAAGTTTTAACATCTCTCTCACCATCAGTTGTCAACACAAAACACACATATTTTGTGGAAGCCGAGTTAAAGAGAGACCTCAGACGAAGTTGCAGCTAGAGGTGCAGAGTTCATTAACTGGTGAGTTTCATGGATACGAAAATACATTTTTGTTCATTTTTAGTTACTAATTATTTTCTCAATGGCTTCCTGCATAGTGGCTTGAGCTCTTTTGGGGAGAATCGTGTCAACAACATAAAAAATAAGAGTTTTCTATACAGTAAGAGACCTTACCACGGAAACCTGAAGAAATGCTTTAACTGTTTACTAAGGAAGCTACTAACATTTTTCCAGCTTCAAAAAAAATTATGGTAGCGTAGAGATCGATATTATAGTCTCTAAGACACATGCATTAGACATGCATAATTTTTTTTTTAATTGATACCTTTTTCCATGATTCTATACACACAACACACTGATCTTCTGTTACAACTTAGGAATTACATTCTCATGCTTTCAATAGTAAATCTTTTAGCAAATTTTTTTTTTAAGAATTACAAGGCCAAGCTTCTCAAATATCCCCCACTGAAAAATAAAATTTAAAATACCATATTTTACCCACAACAAACCGAGATGCATCACAATTAACAAAAAGAAAAAAAAAAGAAATATGACATTAGGTAATCATACGTAAATCAAACAGACTGATACACCTCCCCTCCCTCACCCCTCAAAAAAATTATAAAAAAATGATAATAATACTAGGAAAATTATTTGTAGCTCGAATGTAGTATTTATGTTCATTATTTTTCTTCTATACTAAACAAATGTTTTCGTCGTTAAGATACTAAACATGACCCGAGTGTCTACTTGAATTGTTTTAACAAACTTCTTGACACCAAACTCATATTGTTTTTCTTTTGATACTTTCTGTTTGATGTAAATTAATTTTGCTGCAGTTAATATATTCTTTTTTCAGTTTTAATTCATTTCTTAATATATTTTGTCTAAATTATATGCTAGCACAAATTCTCAACCAATAAATTGAAAATTTATCTTATCAAATTTTACAATACCGACAGAAGATTTGGATTATAACACAACGTATATTAAAGAACAAGAAGAAGAAATCACAAGCTATAATGTAACTTCACGCCTAAAAATATATAATACTAGGACTGGCCCGCCTTACGGGCGGGATAGCAAACTCCAAAATATCATAAACTATCATTAATTATAAATTTATAATGGGTATTTTAAACTTTAGCTTACTCTAAACTAAATTGGTCTTGGTCTTAATTTTCATTGTCTTGGTCTTAATTTTCATTGTGTAGGTTTTGTTTTTAGTTAAGCAAAAAAACAAAATTACTATATACAACTGCGAACCTTACAAAATAGATGCATGCTATATTACTATTACAACAACTGAAATTTTGTTTTCATGATATAAACCGTATAGTTAATAATATTTTACCTAAGCGAATAATTAAAATCCACCATTTTTTCTATGCAATGAATAAATGATGTTCTAAGGCAAACCTTATATAAAATTGTCATCGGTAAGAACAAAAACTTCATTTACATCATAACTATCATAATTTAAATAGAATAAACATGAAACTATACATAATTAAGTATCCATGACTATTTTTTTCAATATTAAAAGAAAAGTAATCTATGAAGATGGAGTACTCTCCTTGTACTTCTTCCGAAGTACAACTGCTTCATGCGCCATAGCATTAAGTTTGGCACTAAAGCTCGCCACAGAATCAACATCAGACCATCTGAGATTCTCAAACTGCGACCCAAGATAATCTAGGCGTGTCCTCTTGACACTCTCATCTCCCTCCAATGAATTCAGCAGGATCTCCCATGCCTCTTTAGCTGAAGTACTCCCTTGAATCAACTGGAACTGCTCTGCTTCAACGGCTCCAAAAATCACTGACAACGCCTTTGCTATATAATTTTCATAGAAATATACACCATCTATTTTTTTCAATATTAAAAGGAAAGTAATCTTAATAAGTACAACTAAAAAACTTTACTAATAGATATATATTGGATTCTCATTTTTCTTTATAATCTTTTCACTCTAGATTTATATTTATAGTAATAACATTTTCAAGAAAAAGAAATATGTATCTAACCTAAATTATACTTTTTTGCATAAAAACAAATTAGTTACATAATTATATACATATATATATATTATTTTTAATAAAGGAAAAAAATAAAAATAAATTGGTATTCGTTATCTATTATTTTCAAAATAATTTGCTTCTCACTTTTTAGTAACAATAAAGACATTCTTTTATTAAACTGGTTCAGTTTAAACAATTTTTTGAATTGATTTTTTCTTGATTCTACATATCCATTATAACAACTTAAAATAAAAATGAAGTATAAGAAAATATTTTTTTCAATATTAAAAGAAAAGTAATCTATGAAGATAATAACAAAACCTACACAATGAAAATTAAGACCAAAACCACTTTAACTTTAAAGTGAGCTAAATTTTAAAATGTCCCATAAAACTAATGATGTTTTATGCAATTCTTGAGTTTACTATCCCACCAAACCCTAGTATTTCAAATTTTAAAGTTACAACTAAAAAACGTCACTAATATGAATTACCACACTCTATTCCGAATATTTGATCAAGTTTTATAATCAGCAAACATCTTTTCTGATTTATATATGAACATCCATCACTTCACTGGAGTTATGCTACAAACAAATAGACAAAATATATATAGACCAACTGTTTATCTCAATAACAAAGTAAACAATATCATATTTTGATATACACTATTTAAAGAGCTTATTATTGTTAGACATGTTTCCTTCAGTGATATAATAAGCAGCCAATGGTTTTGGTATCACAGATTAACACTAAAACTGATTGGTGGTGTTTTTTTTTCATTGAGTGTAAATAGTACAACAACAACGTGTTAAAAATGGATGATACGTCTTCAATCAACGTGAAGCTCTGCCGTGAGAAGAACTCTTACACGGGGAAAGACTCTGCAGTTTTCATCAGCACTACTCATCTCCAAACGACACCTTGCAGACAAATTAAGTGTAGATAAAATATATTGTTGCCTCTGTGTGTGTGTGTCTTAATTTCAAATCTAATAGAAGGCAAATAATGTAATATACATTAGCACACCAACAGCATTAGTGTTATTGCTTAGTTTGATAAATAACTTGTGATATGCATGCTCGTTCAATCTGATAGCACTTGAACTGTTATTGCTTAGTTTGATAGGAAGTGAACAGGTTTTGCTTAGTCTGATAAGACTTGAAATATAATCATGATATCTGCAAAGATCTTGTTGGGTATTTGCAGGTCATGAAAGTAAAGGATGATATAGTTCACTGAAGTTTCTTACTTTCTTTGTACACCTGGAGCCTTTGTCCATCTTGGTACCAGTGACCCTCCCAGTGCATATGAAGTGTATATCCTGCATTTACAAAGTCTGGGATCACATACAGAGTATAAACATGCACTATTTTTTAAAAAAATGGCTGGGTAACCTGTGTCTGGACGGTGATGATGAGCTCATTTACCTCAGCTATGCTTCAAGGCTCAAGCCTATCGTAGCCCCTCGGGAACTAAGATGCTAGAGTATTCCCAGTGTCACTGGGGACCAGACAAAAGATTTGTTCAGGGAATCGTTAGATTATGTGATGGATAAGTAATCTAACAAACCGACATCAGTAACTTACTTGTCATAGTAGCTCTCCATGCATTAGTCTCCTTGGCAAAAAGATATGTGTCCCTGATGTGGCATTCAAGAACAGACGTCCTGCAAAATCATGATACTGCAAATGCCAAGAATTATTAGAGTCATCCCACTTAAAAAAAAATAGAGTACGTATCAAAACCTTAAATGCCTCCTATTTCTTGGGGTTGATGCTTGCTTCAACAACAACCCTAGCATCACACCGAAAACCTTCTAGCTTGTGGTGAAAATATATAGCTTGTGAGAATCATTTTGAAACAGCTATAAAAAGAGAAACATAAAGATAATATAGAACGATAAATACAAAGTCATTCACTGTTTTTTTCATGAAAGCAAGATAAGTAAATAAAAGAGGGCTTCGGGAGAGAGATGATGCCTTTTCAACTTTTTATTTGGCATATATGTAATAAGAAGTCGAGCTTCACCATGAAACAACTGAAAGAACATTCCAAAACATATGTAAAAACACATCAGACAACAGTTTAGATCAGGTAATAAAATACAACTTTAAGAAGCATCGTACACAACCTTGGAGGCTTTAAAGATGGCATTACGAATTTCATTAGAAGCAGAATGACCAAGAGCAACCTTCATCACATAGGTTCGGGCCGAGGAAGAACCTGGACCAATAAGAACCAAACTACAAATCAAAGACCTATGTAATAACATATAATAATCTCTATTACATTCAAGCAACACCCATCTATTCATTAGTTACAATTTTTTTTTTTTTTAAAGCAAAGAAACTGACCTTCCATTGTGTAAACTTTTGTCTGAACTCCTTGAACGTGATATTTCTCATGTTTTCAAAAGAGAAAACGTTTTCAGAATTATATTTCTCGACAGCCTCTCTGATTCCATTAACAATACTCTTTTGTGCTCTCTCCCTTTCGTTCTTTTTTGTCTTTGATAAATTCACTGCAGTAACAACAACAAAAGAGCAGAGCTCTCAACAAATTAAGTGAGTCACAACGCATTAAAAAAACAAATGCTGCACTACTTAAACGTAGTTAAAATCCACCTCATCAGAGTCAAGAGTCAGATTCATCTTCGTCTTCTAACTCAGATTCACCAGCTGCAAGGTTGGCCTTTTGATCAGTCAGTCAGATGGCGTTTGATTTTTTCAATTCTAAATAACAGTGTCAATTTAGAAGTAAACAGCTGCAAGGTTGGACTCACATTGGTTCAACTTCTCTACCCCAACCGTCTTGGACCATTTTGAGATCATATCACTGATTAATAGATTTGGAGTTAAGCTTGTGTGAGACAGAACTTGTTGTGTCTTGGGACATGTTCTGTTTCCAGAACTCAACCACTTTTGTATGAATAACTTATCATATGTCTGCAAAAAACACAGAAAACGTAGGAAAACCAACTCAATTTTCATTTATAATCCGATTTCTAGGGATATTATATAAAATTAAACCCAATTTGAGGGGAAACAAAACACAGAAAATGTAATTTGATAATTAATAAATGAAAATGCAGAATAATCTTCAAAGATCAATTCTTTTTTGGTTCATTTAATCAAAAGACTCTAGATTTCATGAATGTGACGTCACTGACCTGACCAGAAGCCAAAACGACGGGATCACGCATGAACTTTCGAAAAAATCAGTCTTTGCCATCTCTCCGTCGGTATGAGGAGGAGAGAAGAAGGATAAGTGAGGGGTTGTAGTGTACCGCCACCACGTCATTATTTGTTCACAAAACAAACTTTAACACAGTAAAGTAAACCTACCATTTTGAGGCTCATCCATGGTGATTTTCTATCTTCTGAATCAAATTCTGAAAAAAAATGAATGAGAGATCGTGAGGGGAGTGGAGAATGTTGTTAACGATGGCGTTAAAGACGTCTGGATTCAGCGAAAGTGTAGAAGACGGGTTTTCAGAGAAGGAAAGAGGATGGAGTTAAGAAAAGGTTTAATGATTTGTAAATGGAATCGGTTTGATTGATAAAGAAGAATCAGAAAGGACGCAATCTAAACAACAAAAGAAATACCTTCAGAAACTATTCAAGAGACTATGAATGACCACATCCTTGAATCGATAAAGAGCTTGAACAGCCTCGAGGAGAAATCGACCTTGGTGACCGTCTTGAACAAAGGCTGTCGACGTAGTGGAGGAGTGAATGAAGGTGATAAATCACGAAGCCTTGCGATTTGAGATGATGAGAAGAATCGCAAAAGACGCTGTCCAAGGAAGAGGAGAGACGAATTTTGTTCCTCGCTGATGCCGCATAAGGGTTAGGGCAACTCAGTTTTGTTGGGCCTGTTATGCGCTAAAGCCCAAAACTAAATAGATAAGACGCAAATGCGGAAGAAGGGATCTGTCCTACGTGGACTTTCCACGCTGGATCCGACGTGTCACCCTTGAGAGGGAGAGAAACACTCAATTATATAATAGATTGGTATCTTAATGTAACCTAAAGAGACACCGAACTGGAAACAGTCACAAAATATATAAAAACAAACAAACATCCAAATTCAAATCTAAACAAACAAGACTGCTCACAAAAAGAAATAAATTTATTTCAAAATCATATATTTAATTTAAATAAAAAATATATTACATCCCGCGCGTAGCGCAAACTTCCCCTAGTTTAATTATACATTCTTTCAAAATACATTATTCCAAAAGTTATGTACCAAAACAAATTTACTTGAAACAATAATCCGACAATTGGAACATAATTATATATAGTATACAACAATAACATATATTTATTTATATTACACAATGCAGAATATCTGTCTATATGCATATAGTATCAGAACTCATGTGTAAGGGTTATTGGTTAAATGTTATTTTAACACCATGTGAGGTTTTAATCTGAACGGCAACGCTGACTGTTGGAGCAACCACGACGATAGTCATGAACTGGTGCACGAGTTTTCTCTTTAGGATCGGTAATATGACAACTGGGTGACGGATTAGGGCCCAAGCAATGGTTAAGCACCCCTGGATTTAAATGCTTACCGCTACCAGCTGCATTTCCTATTATCACGGCACTACTAATCACCAATAAGCATATCATCAAAGTTTTCATGATTTGCTTATCTTTTTCAAAACTAAATTTTTGATTTAGTGTCTTTTTTTTTTCTTTTCCTTCGGGGATTACAAGGGTTTATATAGATAGTTAATATCTATTTTTCCTAGACCTGTATAGATAAAATAATCCTTTTTCTATTTTTATAACGAACAGAATTACCTCCTAAATCTTGACCAAAAGAAAAATTACCTCCTAAATCAAGTATATAGATTTATATTTTTAGAATTATACTGTTAGATTATAGAATTGCAACTAAAACGTAAAACCTATAAACTCTGTTTTTTAAATATAAGAAGCATAATCAAAAATGAAACACTAAAAGCATTTTACGTTTTCTTTCCGCTCAAAGATACCTCCAAAGCACCTTACTACATGGATTGAGACTACCTAAATTATTATAATATACAACATAAACAAAGCCCTCTTGACCAAATAAATAAAGTAAAATAAAAATTCTATGGAGAAATAAACGCTAACTAGTAGGGGTGGGCAGTTATTTTTCGGTCCGGTTTGGTTAATTCAGTCCTAGAATTTTTCTAATTGAAGTAAACCATAACTAGTTTGGTTTGGATCGATTTAGGTTTGGTTTGTATTCGGTTTGGTTTCTATTCGGTTTGATTTGCATTCAAATCAGTTTAATCGGATTTTTTTAGTTTAGGGTTTTTAACATAAATCATATTTTAAACTATAAATATAAATGGTGGTGACTATAAAAAAAATTATAAAAAGTAAAATTAATATAACAACTGAAAAAAAAAACCGTTAAACACACAAAAAGTTTGTAAAAACACCATAAAATCAAAGTTAACTAAAGTAAATAGAAACAAAATCACTAATAATACCTACTGAAAATAAACTATCTAAATTAAATTCAATATAAAACTGAAGCAAAAACCTTAAAACTTATATTAAATTTATAAAAACACAATCAAATCAAAGTTAACTAAATTAAATTGAAAATCGGAAAAATTCAACATCGTTAATAAAGTTAATAATAATTTTAATTTTATGATTTTAGTATATCACCTATTTCTAATATGTTTAATTTAAATATTAATAAAACCCACTAATTTGTCAGTTCGGTTTTAACTCGGTTTGGTTCGGATCGGTTTCGGTTCCGTTGATTCGGGTTGGGAAAATCTTAACCCAAACTATTTTATAATAGAATTAGTTTGCTTTGGATCGGTTTTGGTTTGGTTGGTTCATTTGGTTCGATTTGACTCGGTTCGGTTTGGTTCGGTTTTTTTGTTCACCCCTACTATCTAGTACTGACCACTGCTTAAAAAGCGCGGGTACTATTTTTGCTGTTTTATCTACAGATGGATCGATAAGTCTTTTGCTTTTATGATATAAAATGTCAGAGAATCAAGATCAAGTTATTATGCGATTATAAGAAATTTTTATTTTATAATGTCTCAGAAATTTTTTTATGTTTTTAAATAAGTTAAATGGTTGTACATGAAGTGTGTAATTAAGAAAGATTGTATATTTAACAATTAAATGGTCCAATTTTTTTTAGTTTTGTGATTAATTCGTAAAATCATTTAGTTACAAAATTTCAATCGCTCAGTCTGATCCGCCCCATCCAACCCGCTCCGTAGCATGTTGAGTCATTTTTATGACTGAAAAATTTGACATGTCTGACCAGCAAATAAAATATATTTTTGCAAGAATTTTTTTTATAAAATTTTAAAAAGAATTAATCCATTAATAAAACCCATTAATACATAATTTTTAGATCCAAATAAAAAAAGACTAAAATACCATTAATGAAAAGCTAAATTTGTTCATATGATTAAAAATAATTTAGGAAAACATAAATCATTCATTAAAAGAAATGATCATGTTTTGATGGTATTGATTTACTATAATTATATATATTATCATACTATTAATTGAAAGAATATTTAAATGACAACGTTATAATTTAATCACTTCGATAAGATGACGAGTATTAATGAATCAAATGAGACTTAATTCCACATCGAATTATGCTTCAAGTACATGCTGACATGGCAAATGCAAAATAGCATACTATACCGTTTGTAATTAGCACAATTACAATATTGTTCGATTCAAAACGTTTGGCATCCTAATCTATACTTATTAGATTATTATGAATTCAAATTTTGGTTTGCAATCATAATATACAGTTAGATGAATAATTCAAACATACACGTATGATTTAGTATTATTTAGGGTTTAAGTTACACTTACACATATATAGTGTTTATGGTACACATATGGTTTAGATATACAATTTCGATTTTATCTAATTCATTTGGTATTTCAATTTTATGACTTTGAAATCATATATTTGTATCTTTTTTAAATCAAAAAATAATATATTTATATCTATACCAAATTATTTATACTATAATTCATTATCATTAAAATTATCATATGAGATAATTGTCTTCTATGCCCATATTTGAGGTCATAATTAGTATTACACATATGTGCAGAGGTTGATTATTTGTTGACCATTTTGACCCTATAAAACTACAACTATCTTTAGTGCTAGTTGTGTGAGTTGAACGCTCAGTAGCTTTAACAAGTATTTTTCACTCTTAGCCATCTCTCATCATCTTTTTTATTTTATTTTTTTGTCATGTGTGTTTTATTTTTCTTTCTTCTTTCCCCTCCTTTACAAAACATATTTCAAAATATATTTATCAATGTTTCTTTTTCTCTCTTTTTTTTTTGTTTCTCAATTACCAAACTCAGATTTGAATTTGATATTAACTAAATTAAATATATCATAGTAAAAACATCGCATTAAACCTGTTAAAAATATAATTACTAAATTAAATATAACATAGTTAAAACATCGCATTAAACCTGTTAAAAATATAATAAAGTTAAATGTGACATGTGTATAGATAGTCTGTAACAATCACTACATCCAAATATGATTTATGTTCTAATGAAAAATAACATGTAAATTTAACTAATATATATGTTTCCATGTTAAACAAAATATTATATCTATATTTATGTATATGTATATTATATGTGTTACATGATAAATTTCAGCTAACATCTCTGTTAACAGCTACAATATTTTTAATTAATACATCATGTTATCAAGCGACAATAGCGATTATCGTTTGTTACTCGGTTGTTTTATCCGTTAACTTAAATTTTAGTAACTAACTTTTATGTTACATGATAACAAAGGTACTAGATTAATAGGCAATACTGCATTATTAAGACTATTATTGATTTTGTTTAACGTACCACAAATAACAATTCGTTTGATAATCAGATAAGTAGCCTAAACATATAGTTCACTGAGTTAATATTTTTGACATGTATCATATTTCATTAAATATATGGTAATACAGCATATAAAAATGGTAATACATGTGTTCTGACTATGAATCACTAGATTTTCAAACATAAGAGTACTACTAACCTTCATTATAAAAAAAAATCACTATTATGAATTTAATCGGTTTATCATGATTTTTTGTTAAATCATTAAAAATAAAGAATCGACGAAGATATCAAAGATAAAGAAAGAGAAGAAGAAAAAATGAACAAA